CCAGCCTGTACCCGTTTTGGGCAGGATTAGGCCAACTTCTACTAAGAGCTGATTATTCTGAGTAAAAGGTGAGGAAAAAACTGTATCGGTAAATTGTATAATGTACACGTACATCATAGATGTATTCTCCCTAAAAAAGTGACTTTACGTGTGATGTACTGTAACTGGCTGCAAAACAGTAGCTCCAAAAATTTAATTTGAAATACATATACCCGCAACCCTGGTTATCTGTGCATTTATAATGGAAAAGATGTGTTATATGTACATAAGCAAACACATCTCATGCCAGAGCCACAGTATTGTACATATAACAGGTACATGTACACAGCAAGACATGCATTAATTAGCATGGGGAAGGTGGCAGGGCAGGAAACCAGAAAGCTGTAATGTACATGTACATGTAAATACCGGTACACCTAGCTGCCTAGATGAAGGAAAACTCAAAAGTTTGTGGAGGAGATCTGACTATTCTACCGGTGCTTGGAATTGTTTTCACATGAATTTTAACTGGATTCTGGTATCTTCTGTATTTACATGTAAATGAAAAAACCAATAGCAAAAAAAGAAATGTTTTTGAAGTTCCAGAGTGTGCTGCCTGTGTTTACATGTATCTCCTGCTAGCCTTTGGTAGATGACTTCCAAACTACACTATACATGTACATTGTACCGGTACAGACACTTTTCTGTAGGTTTTGCTTAGTTGCTTGCTGAAGAAATTTGGACTTCATTCTGAAGTATCCCAGACAGAATTGGAATCATGATATTGGAAGAATGTTGAAGCTGCCAGGAGGTCTACTGCAAAATACAATGGGTTGCTAGGCATACTGTACATGTATATGGTCTGGTTACTCTGTTGGTGTTATTTTATGTACCAGTAAGTACATGTATGCTCAAGCAATTACTGCACAAATGAAGTACATGGGAAAATTCCAGCAGATCTACGGGAAACAGACTGTGTCATACATGTGGATCTAGCTTTTAGAACACATTTTGAAAATAATTTATTCTCCAGGGTGCGGCCTTCAAAGTGAAGAATGTTCCACTTCCAGCAAAGTTGGAAACTTTTTCAACTAAATTCATACAGTGCTTATTAATATACGTTGGATATGGGCAAACCGTTATATATAATTAACATCTCCCCAACGCAAAAATACATCTTGAAAATTACATCAAAGTTGTAACAATGTGCATGTACATGTAATTAAAAAAAAAATTAATTAAAAAGACTACATGTAAGTACCGGTAATTTCTAAATGCCCAGGGAATCACAGACTGTACAGTGTAGCTCACAAGCTCGAGTGTACAGTAAAATCTACTAAAAAAGCCTTTAACTGCTTCCTGCTGGGGACTCCAGAATCGGAGCCGTATGGTTTATATGCATGGCCGGGGTCTCCAAACTCGAACAAAGGAAACAGGGCCCTGTAAGAAAAGACCGTTCTCCGAACAAAAGACCAGGCTGCTGGGCATTACTGACATTTTTCACTCTCAAGAATGGTGATAATCCAGCCTTGTTTTTCCACTAGCTTTTTGAAGGAGCAGAAAGCTATATGTTTGTTCATGTACATGATTGTAACTTTTAGAAATCCAAAATTTGGAAGCCAACAATCCTGAAATAGGGAGAAGAAAACCGACTGAAAACAACTACACTTCCTGCAAGCCAAGAGCAACGTCAGCACTCGCAAGGTCAGGTTTGTGCACATTCAGAGGAAAATTCAGTTTGTACATGTACTCCTTGCAGCTGGCTGCCACAGGCCCTCAATTTCTACAATAAGAAATCTACATCTAATAAAGCGCCCTCTTCTGTCCACACGTGAAGCCACAATACAACATTTGCTGAGTCATAGGTGTCGTCATTTTGTAGAAGCTACATGTATTCAGACTTCACGTACATGTGCATGCACATACCGGTAGACTGGGATTACTGGTGATGTATGTTTTTATCCTGTTTCAGCACTTTTCAATTTCATTCAATCTGCTATACATCTGCAGCCTTTGACACACGAACCCTGTATAATTTATCATCATTTTGTGAATACCAGGTTAAACGTTTCAGCATTCAGTGCAAGAGTGTGCACATGTTGACATGAACGTAAGTAAAGGCATTCCTGCATGCAACCCTTGCAGTTCCAACAAAACTCTGCGTACATGTAGGTACATGTACATGTAGGTTAACTTCACATAGAGGAGTCTTTCTCTTTAACCCTAACACTCCTCAGTCCTCCAGCAGGTGAAGGATTGAGGGGGGTTGGGGTTAAGGGCTCTACTGGGAGCACACTTTGAAGGGGTTGTTTAGCAGACTGTCATCCTTTCACAGATGTTAAATTACCATTAGCACCCTGTTCCTATAATAAGGAAACAAAGCCCATTTTCTCAAACTAACATTTCGACATTAAGGAACCATTACTCACTCCCTGATACATGTACATAGGCTTAGTTTTGGTAAATTTTGACAATATGTAGGCAAGAAAACTTTAAATTTCTAACCCCAGTTTGGCAAAAGACAACCACTCGGTCGAATCACAGCATTTTGTTTTTCGTCTGGTTACTCGACTCAGCCTTGTTTGGATTCATCAAAACAAATCTCCATCCAGGTCAAGGAACCAGACTACATTCATTTATTTGTCGTTCACAGCTCTTTGGGGCAGTCATGTACATGTACACTGCCGTTTACCCCAAAGTTTCCCTCAAAAACCAAAAGCCCTGTTCTCTTTTCCTTCTGATATGAAGGAGGACATCACCAACAACTTGTTTAGATAAGTTATTTCGAAAAAGTAGAATTTGTCCCCTTATAATAGGAACAGGGTGCTAAAGGGCCCCTTTTACAAACAAGTCGTACATTACATTGTAATTTTTTCTGATGTTTCAAAACAAAACCTATGTGATCATAAACCCCATCATTTTGCAGAAAATGAAGGGAAAAAATGCCTGGATTTTAGTTTTGCTGGGTTCTGAAATGTGTGGTGTATAAAGAAGTGATTTTTCAAGCTAAACGGACATCGCATTAATAGTTGATGGAAAGTTCTGTTACCCTCCAACAATATCAAGTATCACACCATAACTTTTCATTCCCCAGGTTGTAAAAACACACTATAAATATTTCTTTTACATTTTTATAAAAAAAGGACGCAACCTAGGACACTAAACAAGATCACTTTGAAACTTCACCTTACCTTTACTGTCATTTCTGTTTTCAGAGCTTCATGTACATGTAAAAAGCCAGAGGGACTTTCATGAACATACACTGTACAGGCCAATTTTTTTTTAATCTTTTTGTTTAAATTGATTAATAAACTACTCAGAGAAGACACTTTTTAATAATAACTCATAAACAGCACTACATGTACAGTGTACATGTACATACTGGTTTGTAACTCCGTCATGCACATGGAGGTACATGTTCATGTACATGTAGTGTGTACCACTATACATGCTATTTGTAAATTGCGGCCACATACATATACATGTACGTGTACACTGCACCTGTAGATACATGTATGTATATGTACATTGCACCTGTATAGGTACACTGTACATTGTACACTGCACCTGTAGATGTACATTACACCTGTACATGTAGGTGTAGTGCCTGAACATGTACATTGTACGCGTACCAGTAGTATGTGCACACACATCAGTAGTATGTGCACACATGTACAAATGCATGCACAGCTACAGTACATGTACCGGTTCAATCATTCTCCAGTGTGACATTGACCTTGGCACTCACAGCTCCTTTCGCAACGCTACGTACGTATGAGCGGTTTTTGGCTCGGTGCCAACAGAGGGCGGCAGACTAATTCACACAGAGACTTACTTGTTCCACTCCCAAGACGCCCTCATTATCCTTTGCTGCCTCAACCATGAAGCACACTATGGATCAAAAACCCCCATGTGCAAACCAGATCATTCTTGGGTAAGTTCACAGGCTAATTTCATGAGCTCTGGTACACAGCACCCATTGGTACGGTTCGCACTGCTCATTTATTACTCATCAATTTCCTTTTTTTACAAAGGACTTGGAAAGCTTCCATGAAAACCTCTGGAAAGTAAGGACGGAGCTGTTGTTGGCTACTGCAGCAGACCACTACCAATGCATTGATGCTGAGGAATCTCATGCTCGATGTTAATCAAAGATCCTGCTTTTTAACAATGGCACTGAATAGTATCTACTGTGTCCATGAGCTGGATACTTAACCTCGATTGCTGCTACAATCCCAAGTGATTCCCGAAACCTTTAAGTGTAAATGACACACACACATTTACACAGTCCTGTGTACACAAGTTTCCAATAACACAAGGTATACATGTACTGTACATGTACTTACATGTACATGTACGTTATACTATCGGCAGAGTTCTATAATAACAAAGTTTTGTTCATGGATGTACTCGTACTGTTGAAATCAAAATAAAGTGGATATAAATTGT